ATCTCCTTTGATGTAACTAATATGTATTCAAATATTCCTACAAAAGATACCCTTCAAATCCTTCAAGAAACTTTAAACAAAAATAAACAGGTTTCAAAAAATGAGTTAAATGATCTTACTAGTAATGAACTATCTAGAGTAGCAATCAATCAAAGCTATTTTGAATTCAATGGCAAAATTTTCAAACAATTAGAAGGATTGGCTATGGGTTCTCCACTTTCTGGTATTCTAGCAAACATATATATGCAGCATCTAGAATCATCAAAAATCATAAACGACGAAAATCCATTTAAAAAAGATATAATCTATTGGTATAGATATGTCGATGATATATTATGCTTATACAACGGCAATAAAGACTCATATCAAGATTTTTTGAAATACTTAAATTCTATCTCCCCAACAATTAAATTTACGATGGAGACACAAGAAAAGAAGATAAATTTCTTAGACATAACAATTACTAAAGAAAACGATCGACATAATTTCAATATATATAGGAAACCTACCCAAACTGACCTAATCATTCCATTTGAGTCAAACCATCCTTGGCAACACAAAATTTCTACATTCAAATCAATGGTATTTAGACTACTTAACATACCAATGTCTAAAGACAACTTTGAAATAGAAAAGAAAACTATAAAAAGAATTGCAGGAACAAATGGATACAAAGAAAAAATGATTGAAAAATTAATAAAAAATGAAAAAACTAAAAGAATGAAAGTAGAAGAACAAGAAAATGTAAAGAAAGAATTTATATGTATTCCATTCAGCTCATCCTTAAACAAAACCTTAAGAAAGACATTACCGAACTCAAAATTTAAACTAAGTTATAAAACAAGGAATAACGCTTTTAACATAATACAAAAAAGAACAAATCCGATACCCAACCCACCAAATGTATATAAGAAATCAGGAATTTACAAATTATCATGTAACAACTGTGAAAAATACTATATTGGTCAAACAGGTCGAACATTTGAAGTCAGATACAAAGAGCATATACAGGCAATCAGATCAAACAATATGACAACACAAAAATCCTCATACGCCGAACATATACTTCAGACCGACCATACATACTCAGAAATGAATAAAAACATGCACATTCTGGATATTGAAAATAAAGGAGAAAAAATGAATACAAAGGAAGACTTTTATATTTATACTCACCATATTAATGACAAAGACAATTTACTAAACTTGACACAAATTCAAAATCAAAACGTAATATTCAATGAAATTATACATCTTAAAGAAAACACCTCCTTCCCTTAATATAAAAATTATCACCTGTTCTTTAATAAGAAATATCTAATAATGTTTGTAAATAAAAGAAACTAATAGGTTATATACTATACTGTGATCATGGCATTAATGTCCGAAACATGTAAGTAATATAAAATAAAATGTTTCTAGGGTACTGTGGTATTTTGATTTGCTTAATAACATTTAAAGTAGCCCTCATTGATGTATACAATAACAATATATATATATATATATATATATATATATAGATTTATATATATATATACGTCCGTGAACGCGATAACTTGAGTAATTTTGGTCCCATTTTGATGAAATTTGGTTTAAAGGTGTAAAGCGGGATAAATTTGAATGAGTTCGCGAACCAGCATGATCGGACCATGGGAACGGGGCTTTACGGGGGGTTTTATGGGGTAAAAATTGGTTTTTCTCATTTTTGACCCTCAAAACACAAAATTTCCCAATTTCTCTTTAGACCTTTTTAAAGAGCTTAAAAAAAACAAATAATTAAGTATATTTATTTGGCTATTAGTAACGGAGAAAATTTAAAACATTGTAAATTTAAAATTCCCGTGTTATTCTTATGGAGAATATTGTCAAATGTTGTAGTTTGCTTGTTTATGGATATATTTTGATCAAACTTGGCAAATTTATTTATTTTGTACTAAGCTATCAATATTTTACTAAAAAAACACACTTTATTAGTTTCCTTGTAGCAGCAAACCTAGGTACTCGTTAAACCTAATGTTATTAAAATATATTTAACTGAAAATCAATTCAGACAAATGGAAATTCGCTTAGTCGGCAGGTTTGCTGTGGCGGGGGTATTATTTTTTGTTAGCACATCCATAGCAGAATCGATTTTTTTATGCCAAGAAACAAAAGTTTTTTTGTTTCTGATCCGACAATTACACCCTGAAAATAAAAAAAATTGTTTTAACAATTTGAATCTATAACAAAATATTTAAAACTAGAAGCTGTGCCCGTACCTCGCACGGGCTAAAAGGCATTACTCTACCTTCGATCAATAGTTCAGCAGCTGGCTATACTTTAGTGTGCAAACTTGCGTATACTCAATATTCGTGCATAACGTTTTAGTTTTTATGTCTAGGGAGTTTAAAAAATCTGGGTGTTTACTGTTTACCACTCCCCCCCCCCCACGTTTTCCCGCTATGACGGCATCAAAATGGCGGCCATTGATTTTTTTAAAGAGTATATTTCGCAAACTATTTGTCGGATCGGAACGAATTTTTTTTGTTGGAAAGATAAGTTTAAACGCCATCTGTTTAACATTTACACATTTGTTGTATGTTTGGTAAATTTTTGTAATTTTGAAAAACCCTGTATTTTTAAATATTTTTATATTATTTTTTGTAACGTTTTATTGATACAATAGGCTATATTAAAAACCACCAATCAAAAAAGTTGTAGAACGTTTAAAAAGCTTTACAAAAATTCAAAATTTGATATGTTTTACTCAAAAAATTACGTCAAGAAACTAGATAAATCTCATAAAAACGCCTATTTTGGCGCAAACACGCCTATTAGTCCTGCATCTAGGGCAGTGCGCAAGTCTTATATAGACAGTTTTACCATTCAATGTTGATGTATGTGTCACGGGTGTCACGTCTTTTGTTGTATGTTTAGTACATTTTTTGTAATTTTGCAAAATCCTATATTTTTAGTCTAAAAATTTAACTTAATTTAGCTTTAAGAAAGTGGTCTTTCTTTTCAAACTGCAGTTTTCACAGCTGATTCATAATTTTCATCCTAGACTGTGTGATTAATTTGCAATTTGTTTATTTATAAAAAGTTTAATTTTCCCATGTTAAAAACGGCTTCTCAATTTTCAAGTTTCTGCTTGTTACCATTTAAAAATGGTCACCACTTATATAGTTTTTCAACATTTTCTTACTTTTCATAGCCCAATATCTAAAAAAACTAAGGTTTTTTATAAAGAGCCAAGAACTAGGAAAGATGCCAAATTTAAATTCCTTTACGAAAATGCACGGTTTTAGGGTTATAACATAAATTATTGAGAAATGTTGTTGAGATAAAAGTTGAGAAACGTAAAAGCTACTTTACACGTTAATAACAAATTTCTTTACAATCACACAATTTTTTAGGGTTATTGATGATGAATAACCCAAAGCGGTGGATTTACTTACCACTCCGCTATTGGAATTCATTCCGTGGCCGTATGACCTCTTCGCCCAACCTCCATCTCCCATCACACTAATGAATGGAACTCCTTGGAAAAAGTTCCCCTTTTGAATGGCAATTCGCTTTTCTTCTGCGGCGTTTTCTTCCATCTTTCGTAATAGGTTTTCTTCCCAGGCCTTGAAAAAAGTAAAATAATAAAACATAAACCTAAGCAAAACTACATGAATCTGAACACATGCATCCCAGTGAAACTAGATTACTGTTATTTGTCCCATAAAATTATGGCGTGATCCAGTACATGTAGTTTGGCTGCTACGTGGTAGTATTGTAGAAATTAGATGTAAACCCATAAACAGTTGATAAAAAAATTAACAAATGACATTTAAATTGTTAAACATATTAAGAAATATTGTAATCGAACTTATAATTGAGTAAATGTAGGATATCGTATTGTTGTCATCGTCCTTGGCATTGCACCTACGCTATTATTTGTTATATAGGATAGGATCGGTTAGGCTACTGTTAGAACTCACATGTCCGACTCGAGTTTCGTGGCCTCTGAATTTCTCCTGGCTCATTAGCGGCACATCAGAAAGAAAGTAAGAAAGAAAGAAAAAGCGCTTTATTTTCAAAATACCCAGTGCACAATACAAGTTAATTCGTCCCACGCAGGGGACGTGCCTTCGCGCTACAGCAATAACCTCTCGGTCGTCTGCCGGGTTGGCACGTCTAAAACTAAATCAAAACAGTTATTGGATTCCTTTAAAATAAAATTAGAAATCTTTCCTTAAACTAACAATTATGGCCAATATTTTAAAGTTAAGAAATATAAATACAATCCAACCAGTTTCTCTAAATTCCTATAGTTATATCGGTTTTTTTTGTGTTGAGAAGTTTGGAAGAGTACAATAAATTTTTATGATAATTTGTTTTTTCAATTGTTAAATTCTTGTATTAAAATCCACCTGTATTGCCAGGCGTTTTTTAAATAATTTACTAACGCTCGCCAATCCCTGCCATTTAAAAAACTAATATAATCCCCTTCAGAAAGGACTCTATTGTGTAAAAATGTTAATCTAAGATTACTTAAAATTGGACATAAAGCGATGAAATGAAATGTGGTTTCAATTTCGCCCATATTACAAAGAGAACAGAACTTATTTCCCGTTGACCAAGGTTTACCATTCAAATAGAGCAGCTCTGCCCTAGCCTTAATTATCCAGGAAACGAAGCTGACATCAGCGTTATCAGTAAGGTAGCTTTTAAAAAAAAACACTTTCTTACCTTCCCTGTTGCATCAAACGTAAGTACTCATTAAACTAGTTATATTTAAATAGAGAATAAAGGTGATATTTTTTGTAAGGAGACATTTTAGTGTAAATCAAATCATTCAAACGGAAATTCACTTAGGCTGCAGGTTTGCTGTGGCGGGGGTATTAATAATAACTTTTACACTTTATAGGTGGGTTGCAATGGAATCAAGGATTCCAAACCTAGACAAAACTGTTTCGATACACTTTGCTGGCCTATTGTGTTTAACCTATTGTCTTTGTGTGTCTGCCCAACAGATACACTTGGGACTGGCCATACAACTTGAACCTTTTCTTAACTCGCAAGATGAACGCCATCAAAGTGGTGCTACACGTCATGTTCTGCCACCCTCCAGGTGCACAGTGGAATGACTCGTTCACAGCTCAGCCAATCAGGTGATTAGTAGTATGTCATCACCTCTCTGATCTTACTAATATTATAAATGTGAAAGTTTGTGTGTTTGTTTGTTTGTTTGTTTGTTGTTTGTACAAAGTGAGAAATAGTGACGCTCAGTTTTCGGCACACCCTGTATCGGAAAAACGTTAAAAATATTTTTACGTTATTCCTTGGGGTCGATTTAGTGGAAAATAATTTTATTTCATGCTTGTAGGTTAAGCCGTTTTTCCGTAATCAATTTGAGACACCTCTCGTGGGACACCCTGTATATATATATATTTTGTATATTTACCGTCTTGTGAGTAACAGTATAAGCGTAAATATATGTTTTAAGTGTTATAAGAAGTTTCTTTTATTTACTTTCTATAAATATACAAGATGTTAAAAAATGCAAATACAGTAGAACCTTGATAACAAGACTGTCACGGGGATTATTAAATAAGACTTTTTATCAAGGTTGACTTCTTATTGGGGTTTGCAATAACAAGTGATTATGGGTAAAATAAATTCAAGGGGATTTGAAAATCACTTGTTATCGAGGGTCTTCTTATCGAGGTTCCACTGTAAAACTCTAAAAAATTGTGGTAATGATTTCAGGATCCTTCTATATTCTTTATCTAACTCACATTTAAACAATATACTTAAAAGTATAATTTTTAAGTATATAGGCTATATATTTATTTTAAATGACCATTAAAAATAGTGATTTCATTTATAAGCTAACAAACACCATGTGACCCACCATTTCAAGAGTGACCCAAATTTCTAGTAATGTAGGTCACGTGACTGACATTACACGTAATGCAGGTCACGTGACTGACATTACACGTAATGCAGGTCACGTGACTGACATTACACGTAATGCAGGTCACGTGACTGACATTACACGTAATGCAGGTCACGTGACTGACATTACACGTAATGCAGGTCACGTGACTGACATTACACGTAATGCAGGTCACGTGACTGACATTACACGTAATGCAGGTAACAAACAGAAGTAATTTTCAATTATATTGTGGGTTACCAATAAAATAATCCTTGACATCGAAAACTCGTAAGAGAAGTAATTTGGGTCCCACAATTTACCAAAAAGTAATGTAGGCCACACATCAGATCCTCAGATTTTATGACCCAAATTACAGTTACCGACATTAGCATTTTCACTCTCGTCATCTACTAAAATGTAACATGGAGGCCATGGTTCCCTTTGCTGGCCATAAGTTTGGTTAAGTATGCGTTTGACTTATATTTTCTTAGTTTTAAATTAGTTATTTACCTTATAGTAACAGTTATTATCAGTACCGATCATTACACAAATACTTAACGCTTACAAAACAGATTTTAAATAAAGTCTTTCCTTATAAACTGGAAAGCCAGGCATCACATCACGTTTAACCTACTTCACCCACAGTCAACAACGAACTGAGAGAGGCCGAAATATCAATCTGCAAGAAGTCGATAGGGTTGAATGACAAGACGAGAACATTACATTCACGGCCAGGGACGCAACTTTCAACGATTGTTATTGCCAGTATAATTTAATTCAAAAGCCTGTTTGGTAATTTTGTCAATATTTTAACATTATGAATTAATTCAAACCAAATATTTAAAATGGATTGCCTTAATATTACTGAAAATATAAGCTTATGGATCCAACTTCTAACCTAGGGGACAGGATTTTTGCATCAAGTTTTCAAACACACTTTTCTTTCCTACATAGTATTAAAATAGGGAAACATACACATTTTTATTCAAAGGAAGGTATAATAAATTATTTTAAAACTATTTGGAGCAGGAATAGATGGCAGAAGAGACAATAAATCAATTGATAATTTATAATCTTACCTTAGTAATCCTTATTGGGGGGGACCCAAATTGCAACTCCGGTGGACAGTTCTCTGGTGGTAAAGCCTGGTACAATGAAGACCTGAAGAAGAGTAGAAGTATCCTCATGGCTCTCCTTGATTGCCACAATGTCCTTAAAACCTCAGCATCCCTTCAAGCTCTAACTGAATATAGAAAGATATACAAACAAGAACTGAGGACTGCTAAAAAACAGTTTGTTGCTGACTGTATTGAAAAATCCGACAACAAGTGTAGAGCAGCTTGGCAGGCCATTCGGAAAGAATCTTCGAGCAAACATCAACCCAATACTTCTGTGGAACCAAACGACTTCAACGACTTCTTCATTGACTCGGTGTTGGAGGTGGCGGAGAAATCTGGTGGCGTTCCTTCGGCTGCAGTGGATCTTCTCAAAACCAAGAGCATTGCAGCACCCGGTTTGGAATGGAAGTTAGTGTCATGTGAGGAGGTAGCGCGGCATGTGCGGCTTCTAAAAAGTTCTAAAAGTCATGATATTTATGGCCTGTCTAGTGATGTGCTAAAGTCTATTTTACCTGTGATTGTAGAGCCTTTAACCTATTGTATAAATAGTTGTCTTATTGAAGGTGTATTTCCTGCAAAGCTTAAGTTATCTAAGGTTGTTCCTGTTTTTAAGAAAGGGTGCAGAGATCTCCCAGCTAGTTATAGGCCAATAGCTTTAATTCCAGTCTTTGCCAAAGTTTTTGAACGAATTTTACATGACCAGCTGTACAATTATTTTGAAGCTAATTCCTTGTTTTCAACTATACAGTATGGTTTCAGAACTGGGAAATCTACAATTCAAGCTGTGACCTATCTTGTAGATGCAATCCTAGCAAACCTTGAAAGCAGAGCCGATACTGGTGTCACCTTATGTGACCTCAGTAAAGCCTTTGATTGTGTTTGTCATGAGACATTGCTGGCTAAGTTAAAGTACTACAAGGTGACTGATACAACTCTGTCACTTCTTAGCTCATACCTAGATAATAGAGAACAAATAGTCTGTGTCAATAATCAGTATTCATGTAAGAGACTTGTACCCTTTGGCGTGCCGCAAGGTTCGGTTCTTGGACCTCTTTTACTCCTTGTCATGGTTAATGACATTGATGTTAATGTACCATTTGAGACTGTATGTTTTGCTGATGACACTACTTTGTTTAATGCTGGTTCTGATATAAAAACTGTCAATTTGAATTCTGAAAGTGCCCTTAAAAGTGTATCCAACTGGTTCAGTACCAATGGTTTCATACTTAACAATGACAAAACTCAAACCATAGTTTTTAGTAATAAGAATGTCAAGGCTAGTGATTCTCCCTCCTGTGATCAATTAGGGTTAAGTAATGTTAAACTATTAGGCTTAGTTCTTGATAGAAAATTTACATGGCAGTTTCATACGGATTATATTTGTAACAAACTTTCAAGAGTTGTATATTTACTAAGGTCTTTAGATAAAAATGTCCCGAAGTCATATCTCAAGCTTGCTTACAATAGTTTCTTTCAAAGTAATTTACTGTATGGCATATGATGTTTATGGGGAAATGCAGCTGGAGTACATGATGTCTTACTGGTTCAGAAAAAAGCTGTCAGAATACTAGCTTCAGCTGACTACTCAGAGCACTGTTGGCCTATTTTTATCCATGAAAAAGTGTTAACTGTCTTTAGTTTATATGTTTTGTATGTTCTATTAGAAGTAAAAAAACAATCTGTATTCTTGTTGAAACGGCTAAATGTACATAGCCACAACACAAGGCTCAAACATGAAATTGACATACCCTTTTGTAGATTGACCAAAGCAGCCAAAAGCTCTAAAGTTATAGGGCTTAAACTGCACAATATACTACCTCATCATGTCAATAATATTGAATCCTTTGCTAATTTTAAAACTGTTGTAACAAATGGTCTTCTAAAGCACCCACTTTATTCTGTTAATGAGTTTTTGCATTTGAGTGCTACTGATTTTATAGATTTTAAGTAACATGCATTGTTATTCAACAATTTTTATTTTATGATATTTACTAGCAACAGTGCCCGTTGTGGTTAAATACAACGGTCTCTAGTAAAATAATGGTTATGAAATCCATACACCACTTTACTCACTAATATTAATGGTACAGAATAAGCACATAACATTAGATAATTATATTATGCATACTGGTAAACCAATTATTGCCATCTATAAAAATTATTGGTTTTTCTATTCCGAGTCGGGTTAGCTCTTTTACCCAACCGATTTTCATAATTTTGGCCTTAAACTAAAGGTATGGATGTACCACAGATTTGCCATAAAGCATCGGCATTCATTTCGACGTATATTTTGAAAGAATTTAAATTTTATTATTTTTATTTTTCACTTCAATTAAAGCTGTATTCCAGCAGTTCTATATGTACCCCTATATGTTTTGGTCTAAAAACCTTTAGTGAAATACCAGCTTTCATTTGAGCTATTGATTATTAAGATCGGACTACCTAAAACACACTGCTGAATCACAAATCAACAATAATTACAATCGTTTTAGTACTTTTTTGCAATCAATGATACGCAACTCTATTTTTATTTAAGTTATTTTAATATGTCTTGGTCTTAAAATACTTCATAGGCTTTCACTTGAGATATTGATAGTTTTAAACAGTTAAGTTTAAGATGCTGTATCGCTCAATCAGAAAATATAAATTTGATTATATCTTGGATATGGAATTTAGTTTTAGATATATTTACTCAATTCTAATTACGTTATTCTATTTGTTTTGACCTAAGAACCTTCTGTGAAATACCAGCATCCATTTGATTTATAGATTATTAAAATCGGACGTAGGCCTACCTAAAGCACACAGCTAAATGACGTACAACACAAATTGTTCAAAAAATGTTGTTATTTATCATTGATTTATAGTCAAACGATCTTGCTTTCAACCTCAACAGTAACTGTCGACTATGACGGGTTTAACCTAGTAAATCTTTTAAAAAATCAAACTTTTATGATTATTTGCAAATTTACACAAATTAGGCTTTCCAATGACCTATTATTTAAAAAAAAATGGTTCAGTAGAACTGTAGATTTAATTATACAAAGTTTAACAACAACATCTCTAATTCAGTATTTTCTCACCACTATAAATTGGGAGGTTGCTTAACGTTTTTGCAAATAACTTTGAAACGGTGAGGAAATCGACCAAAGTGGAAGGTGATATTCTGAAAGAGAATAAAATTTTCTACAAATTACGATTATGTGTATTTTGAAAATACTCAATAAAGGCAGCCTAAAGTTGGCTACAAATATAATCTTGGAAATATAAACTTGGGAAAAAAAGAGTTTTAAATGTATTATTGTTTATTTTTATTTTTTCACCTCAAATATCTAATAAAATCAAACTTTCATAATTATTTGCAAATCTACACAAATTAGGCTTTCCAACGACCCATTAAGTAACAAAATCGGTCCGGTAGAAGTCTAGATTTATTTGTACAAAGTTTAACAAAAATATATCTAATTCAGTATTTTTTTACTACTATAAATTTTGAGATCACTTAGATTATTGCCAATAACTTTTAAATGGTGGGGAAATCGACCAACGTGGATGGGATATTCTGAAAGAGAATAAAATTTACTACAAACAACTACTATGCATTTCTTGTAAATGCTTAATAAAGGCAGCCAAAAGCTGGCTACAAATAGAAACTTGAAAACAGAAACTTGAAAAAGCAGTTTTTAATGTATTTTTGTTATTTTTTCTTTTTTACCACAAAGATATAATAAAATCACACTTTCATAATTATTTGCAAATCTACATGAGTTGGGCTTTCCAATGACCCATTAATTAACAAAATCGGTCCAGTAGAAGTCTAGATTTAGTTGTACAAAGTTTAACAAAAATATCTCTAACTCAGTATTTTATCTTTACTATAAATTCGGAGGTTGCTTAGCTTTTTTGCAAATAACTTTTAAATGGTGAGGAAATCGACTAAAGTGGAAGGTGATATTCTGAAAGAGAATAAAATTTCCTACAAATTGATACCATACACTTCTTGGAAACACTCAAAAAAGGCCGCAAAAAGTTGCACCCAAATAAAAAGTGTGAAAAACACCGTTTTCAATGTATTTCTTATGGAAAACATGTTTTTTTTAAATTTTCACCATAAATCATAACAAAAACAAACTTTCATAATTATTTGCAAATCTACACGACTTAAGCTTTCCAACGACCCATTAGTTAATAAAATCGGTCCAGTAGAACTCTAGATTTAGTTGTACAAAGATTTTTAAAACTGAATTATATATAGAATAGATTCTCAATTGACAACTGTGATCTCTTCTGTGATATAGGCTAAGTTTTACATGTATGTTACATAAGGTCTACTGTGATAATGTTCATGACTCTGTTACATTTTCTAGTTTATAGTTTTCTTTGACAATGTCTATTGCACAACCGTGTCTAATGACAATAAAGGATTCTTATTCTTATTCTTATTCTTATTGTGGTTATCCGATATTAATTTCTGACCCGTAGGTCCATCTTCAGTCGGAAGTCTAGGGAGACCAAATTCTTATAATAGGATCCACCCAATGGGTTTTGTAGAAAGTATGTTGACATTTAACATGATAAAAATTACAGTCGACATGAATATTATACAAAGGTTAGAGTTAAAAACCATGGTTTTCAAAAAGTGGGATAACCTCACTTTAGGCAGGGAAAACGTTGCCGGCAAAACTGTCAAATTACCTAGGATTGTAGGTTCAACCTTCTAGTTTCTAGATCTTGAACTTCTAATTTCTAATAACCTTCTTCTTGGTTCAATCCTGAGTAATTTGACAGTTTTGCCACTTGCCAGCAACGTGTTCCCTGACTAAAGTGAGGTTATCCCACTTTTTGAAAACCATGGTTTTTACCCCTAATCTTTGTATAATATTCATGTACTTTGTGCTTTGATGAATAAAGAAATATTGCATTGAATTGAATATGTTGACTGTAATTTGTATTGTGTTGAATGTCAACATACTTTCTACGAAACCCATCGGGTGGATCCTATTATAAGTATTTTTGGTCTCCTTAGACTTCCTACTGAAGATGGACCTACGGGTCCGAAATTAATATCTGATAACCACAATAAGGATTGCTAAGGTAAGATTTTACATTATCAATTGATTATATAAGCAATCCAAAGGCTAATATGATTGAGATAATAAATGGCTGGGGACAGCAATTGTCCTGTTTTCAAGTTTTTACCTGTAGACGCTACAAAACACCTAAGCCTAGTAATTGACGAGTCATTGTTAAATTCATCATCAGAAAAGTGAAACACAAAAGCTCTAATAAAGCCGCCAAGATAGCTTACACCTCTCCGTTCGAGTGCCACTTGCAGTAACAAATTGTTCTTTGGGGTGCTGCATCATTTAATGGCTTAAACCACGTCCTTGTTATTCAAAAGAATGCTGTGCAAGTGCTGGATAGTCTCGAAAATGGAGAAAGCTGCAGAAGATCCTTTAAAGAATTAAGGATTCAAACTGGGATCAACATCTATCTGCTTGAAGTGATCTGTTTTGCTGTCTCCAAGAACCTGCAACAGAATTTCAATAACCACGATCACAACACGAGAAATGCTCAGGACTTCAACTTACCAGTACATCACACGTCGAGATTCCAACTGAAGCTATCTTACACCGGAGCTAAACATTTAATGTCTTGCCTACCGAATTGAAGAGAACCTCCCCTGATATGTTCAAGGGAAGACTTTCCGAATGGCTACTCCAGCATCCATTTTATAAAATAAGTGAATAAGTGAAATGTAAAGCAAGATCTTAGGTTATATTTTTTATATATATTTTGACTCCATTGTTAATCTTGAACATTGTACAATAAAGACTATCTCTTAGCTACTTTGGCCTTTGAATTTAGTAATTGTAGAATGGTGCGCTTGTTTGTTAATCTTGCACTTTTACATTGTAATGAAATGTTTCAGATTTTATTTCACGGACCAGACTAGAGTGAGCAGTTCAGCAGCTGGAGAAAACTCTGTTGTTCAGATGATCGGTTCTCTGTATGACTCTATTGAGAATGACTACGGAGCTCTGTCTACACGGTTGTATAGAGCACTCAGACCCAAGTGTTGTAAGTTGTACAATGTATAAGCTCTTTTTCTCAAGTTTATTTATTGCCTTCCTATTTTAAAAATATTACATTTCTTCCTACATCTATCTTCTATATATTATATAACTAGCAGAGTACCCGTCCTTCGTACGGGGTTGGTATTTAATTTTAAAATGCTTATTGCAGTTATACTCAAGCTTTACGTTTGCAATGGGGGAGGACACAGTTTGATAAAAATTTGCATCTTTAAATTTACGGTATACTATGGTATTACACATCTACCATTGCCATTATGTTCTACCACTAAAAATAAATTATTAAAAATTCGCAAAATATCTCAAATTATTAATTAAATTAAAAACATAAACGAACTGTAATGATTCCTTCTTTGGCAGTTCTCATTGTGTATCACAGTTTTTTTTGTTTCTGCTTAGTTCAAATTATATTAGCTGTTTTCATAAATGCAAAAAAAGTGCTACACCCTGTTGGTAAATCTTATAATTGTTTAATGCTTTTGCATATTATTAGGGGTCTGGGGTGCACCAAAAAAGTTGGTACTACCGTCATCGGTTCGGTACAGCATTTTACATGGTACAAATTCGGTTCGGTACAGCTTATTATAATAATAAATTACTTTCAGTTTACTATCATAGTCAAGTCAGACAGTTGGTTCCGAGCACATAAAAGTCTTATCAGATGTTTGTTTACGATCTTCATAATTTATTACTAGGGTGATGATGCAATAAAAAACCCATTAGCAGTCCCAAATCCATTAACATTTTATCACGATGTATTCAAGTACTTCCGAGAACTGTTGAGTTTTATCACTTTTATTTCTTTGACTTTCCCCAATTCTATTTTATCATAAAAATAATAGTTTTATGATGACTTTTAAATGTTATCTCTAACTCAGTCAGTGAATATTCAATTTGCTGCTGGCCATTGCCTACTGCCATAAAACTGTTTATGGCTACACATTAAACTTGTAACTAATCTACAATCTTATTTTATAAGTTAAAATATTTGATATAGATATTTTATCTTTCTATTGACGAAACCACACGCATAGTTGTTGTTTGCATAATTTTTTTCCATTATGCAAGCCTACTCGGTCTCAAATTATGTCATTGCATGTTCTGTATCTTGTCTTATATTGTTAGATGTGGCTGTTTAAGGCTTAAATGGTGTTTTAGTTTCCTGTATTTTTTATTTTTTATTGTGTTGAAGGTACTTTATGCAATCTGAATCTTATGAACTAGATAGTGATTTTGCTACCCTCATTGTAACCTAATCAATTTATATATAGGCCCTCCTAAATAATTAGGTCTAAGCCTAGGTCTTTTGATTCTTTGGAAGAGCTTTAAAATATACTAAGAAAATTGGATTGAGCCTGACATAAACTAATGATTGATATTGTGGATGTTAACTTTGTAAATTAAAAGACAATAATCTTACTCTGTGATAATCCAAATTTTAGTTTCAGAAAAAAACTTTGCAAGATTTAAATCCATCCTATAACTAGTTTTGAAGCTGATAAAAAAAAGATGCTCTTTGCCATTACTTCATCATAGCTTCCAGTTTTGCATTGTAGTCTGCTGTGAACAGCTGGCAACTACACTGTCTTTGTACTGAATGCTTTTATATGTTTTTAAAAATTAAAAAAAAAAACAACTAGACATTGTGTTGGTTGGAAATAATTTACCAGTTGTGTCAAATTATCTTGTCAATAAATGTTTCAAACATGTTTATTCCTAAAAACTCTTATCCTATTTTTAAAACCACTTTTATCATGGCTATTCAAAGTATCTCAGAGTAAAATAGGTAAAGCATTTATCTTAGCTGTGATTTTACTTGACACAATCCTCGTAGTAGTAAAAGGTTTTGTTTTAATAATGTACAGTAATCGTTGTTAGAAAACCATGAATGTAGGATACTATCAATTTTCATAGTAATGTCAATGTATTAAAGTTAAAAATAATGGTTTGAATACAGTTCTGAGCAGAAAAACGCAAAAATACAGGTAGCCGCGTACCGTACCGATTTTGTATCGAGATCCGAGGTACAAAATATTGTACCGTACCGAACCGTACCGACCTTAAATTTTCTGTACCGCAGACCCCTACATATTATAGAACAAACCTTTTCATTTGAAACAGCTGACTAAATTCTTTAATTCCCTTTAAATATGAATACTCATAAGGTTAACATGGGGAACTACAGAGCCACTGGGGCGGAGCCCGAAAGGATGTTTGAGATAAGAATATGCCTATATGTTAATCGGGAATGTGAGCTATCATCATGCCAAATTTCACCCCAATCCGTCCAGTGGTTTATGCGTGATTGAACTTCAAACAAACCAACAAACAAACACACAAACTTTCGCATTTATAATATTAGTAAGATATGCTAAGCCGATTTATGTAAACAGCACTCCTCCCTCATTTTTGGACCGATTTTAATGATTAAAGTATAAAAAAATGTCCCTGGTTTTGCCAAGTGTTTTTCATTTTTTGAAATCTTTATTAGTTTGGGCAGGATCTTACATTAAAGTTGGGTTTTCTCCCATAAGATTAACATGGGGGAATCTAAATATTTAATTCTCTTAGTTTCCACTAATTTGAGAAAATGCTGGGCGTAGAAACTTTTTAGAGGTGTCCAAAGATAGGTCTCGGTCTGTAGATGAGCCATCAAAAGAATACCCCCGCCGCAGCAAACCTGCAGACTAAGCAAATTTCAACTTGTCTGATTACATTTTTACTAAAATATTTCCATACATATTTATTCCCTAATAGCGGAGTACCGTTCTTCGTACGGGGTTGGCATATAAGTAGGTATATAAGAACCTATAAAATGCTTATTGCAGTTACCGGTATTCAAGCTTTGCGTTTGCAATGGGAGAGGACATATTTGAAGAAAAATTGTTTACTATAATAAAATTTACGGTATTCTATAGTATTACACATCTACCATGGCCATAATGTTCTACGACTTCACCTAAACAACAGAGACGGATAAATTATTAACAATTTGCAAAATATCACAAATTATTAATTAAAATAAAAACATAAACATAAACATAACTGCAAACAGTCCCACTTTGACAGTTCTCATTGCATATCACAGTTTTTTGTTGCTGCTTGGTTCAAAAAGCCAATGGTTCAAATTAGCTGTTTTCATAAAAGCAAAATGAATTATAGTGCTGCACCCTGTTGGTAAATCTTATAACTTTTAGCGAATTTCCCATATAGGGAATAAGCTATTACCGTAGTACTCATGGTAAGACCTGGACGCGGGACCGATTTTTCTTTTTGTTTTGAGGTCCCTAGAGGCCAAAAACACCATCCGTTCAAATTAATATATATATATATATATTTATATATTTAAATAATAAATTGAAAACATTATAAAAACATTAGTTTTTTTTGTTATTGTATTTGTAAATGTAAACATGACTATGACCTAAGTGTCGAAACATGTCGTTTATTAATTAAAAATGAATTTAAAAAGGGTACTAATGTTTTTATAATGTTTTCAATTATTTATATAGTAGTAGCCCTAATCACAATCATACTTATTATTTATATATTTATATATTTATATATATATATATATGTGTCCGTCAGCACGATAACTCGAGCAAAAATGATCCTATTTTGATGAAATTTGGTACAAACGTGTAAACCTACGTTTATTCGAACGAGTTCGCGATCCAGCATGATCGGATCATGGGAACGGGGGTTTACGGGGTTTTATGGGGGGGGGGTTTTATGGGGTAAAAATAGGGTTTTCCCATTTTTGACCCAAAAAACAAAAAATTTAGCAATTTCTTTCCAAACCATTTTGTAGAGCTTAAAAAAACAAACAATTTAGTATATTGAAGTGTTACTATGCGCCTAATGGCTACGGAGAAAATTCCAAAAATTGTAAATTTAAAATTCCCATGTTATTCTTATGGAGAATAAGTAAACTGTTGTAGTTTGCTTGTTTATGAATATATTTTGATCAAATTTGGAAAATGTTTTTATTTCTTACTAACTATTAACATTTTACAAAAAAAAAACACTTTAACCTTCCCTGATGCAGCAAACCTAAGTACTTGTTAAACTAATTCTATTTAAATCGGGAATAAATGTTATATTTTTAAGTAGACATTTCAGTGTAAATCCAATCAGTTAAATGGAAATTCGCTTAGTCTGCAGGTTTGCTGCGGCGGGGGTATTTAATGCTTTTGCATATCATAGAACCAACTTTTTTAATTAAAACAGCTGACTAAATTCTTTAATCCCCTTTAATTATGAATACTCATAAGGTGAACATGGGGAACTACAGAGCCACTGGGGCGGAGCCCGAAAGGATTTTTGAGATAAGAGTTATGCCTATATGTTAATCGGGAATGTGAACTATCATCATGCCAAATTTCAGCCCAATCCGTCCAGTAGTTTATGCGTGATTGAACTTCGAACAAACAAACAAACAAACAAATAAATAAACAAACAAACAAACACACAAACTTTCACATTTATAATATTAGTAAGATTTAAATAACATTAGATTCAACGAGTGCTTAGGTTTGCTGCTACGGGGCAGGAAAATAAGTGTTCTTTGACCATCCATCCGTCAATAGTATAGGATGAAATAAATAAATTTGCTAAATTTTATCAATATATTGATGATCCATAAACAAGTAAACTACAACAATTTTCCTTTTCTCCATAAGAATAACATAAGAATTTTAAATTACACTATTTTTGAATTTTCTCTGTGACCGTTAGGCATACAACAGCGCTTCAATATACTAAATTATTTTTTTTTTTTTAGTTCTACAAAACGGTTTAAAAATAAACTAGTGTACATGTTGCTCGAATTCAAGCAATTGAAAAGTATTACAGGAGTAATTTCAAAACGAATAACAGTCATATTTACAATTAGTTTAAAAGAGTCAACTCAAAGATTATCGGTGTGGAACTCATGGAGATACTCACGATGTATATAACAGTAATCAACATTTCCTGTAAATATTGTAACCTAAATTTGTAACCTAATATTTGAGATTTTCCAGGGTCAGGTGATGACTGTGATGAGTTAAGCCTATTGCGCGCCACTGTGTCGTTATCACGATTACGCCTCCTGTCTATGTTTCGTTGTCGTCGCGTCGGAGGCATTTAAAAGAAAAAAAACAACAAATAAAAAAATTATAGCTACACAAAACATCGATAAATACACAAATTTAAGATACAACCATACTAACACGATCCGTCTTGGGGGTTATGTTTACACAAACTCAAATAGTAAATAAATGTACTCAATGCGTTTCATTGGATTGAAAAATAAATAACAGCAATTAAATTACTGTATACAGCTGATCAAAATGTAAACAATTATGTTCTTCATATGGATAACATGGGAACTTTCAAAGCCACTGGGGCAGAGCCCAAGGGACTTTTTCAAAAATGTAAGGCCAGTTTGCAAATCTACGCGACACGCTCTTTCCAATGAGAGTTCAATGGATATAATCGGTTAAGAAATGGCGGAGGAGTTCAACCGACAAAGTTTCATGTAGCGTATTAATTATATAGATTGCAAATTTTTTGTTTTTAGGGTCAAAAATGGGAAAACCCCATTTTTACCCCATAAAACCCCCATAAACCCCCGTTCCCATGGTCCGATTATGCTGGATCGCGAACTCGTTAGAATAACCGTAGGTTTACACGTTTGTACCAAATATCATCAAAATCGGATCATTTTTCCTCGAGTTATCGCGCTAACGGACACACACATATATATATATGAATTTGAACGGATGGTGTTTTTGGCCTCTAGGGACTTCAAAATGAAAAATTAAATCGGTCCCAGGTCCAGGTCTTACCATGAGTACTACGGTAATAGCTTATTCCCTATATGGGAAATTCGCTAAAAACGAAGTAAATTCCCTTAGGGCTCTGCCCCAGAATCCTTTAAAGTTCCCTTCCCAGATTTATTTACATTTTTGTCATACGGACAATTGTTCACTACTTTTTAATGAAAAAGCTTAAAATAGCTTAAAAAGCTGTTAATATTTAAATTAAATCTATATATTTAATACGCTAGGCATATTTTTGTCATAGGCCTAATTGTTTTGGAGCGGTGGTGCTACCGATCACCATGTTCAAGGTGTCGTTAGAAAGGTCTTAGCATGTAGTTTTGCCATCATGCAAAAAAACTTTGGAATTCCATCAGGGCTCTGCCTCAGTTGCCCTCAAAGTTCCCATGTTATTCTTAAGGAGAAAATATTTGTTAACATTTAAACAGATTTTAAAGGCGATTTCTACGAAACACTACTCCGCCGTTAATCATGGGCGGATTTTTACAAACGATGTGTCAAAATGAATTATTGTTTGTGTAGACGCCCCCTTTCGCCAATTCCTGTAATAAAAGTCCTCGGGCTTTGCCCCACAGGCCATCAACATCCCAATGTATTTCTTTTGGATAAAAGATTTTGTTTAATTAAACGGACGAATAATTTGTATTAATCACAGCTGTTTATAGTAAACACATGATACACACAAGAACGTTCATTTTCTGTTTCGATAACTGGAGTGAAGTGATTGATGACATTATCTTTGAGTTGACTCTTTTAAGTCATCGGCAATTATGACTGTTATTCGTTTTGAAATAACGCCCGTAATACTTTGCAATTGCTCGAATTCAAGCAACAGGTGCACTAGTTGTATTTTAAACAACACATATTATAGGGAGTTACTGAGTTTGTCAAAAACAAGTATATGCAATGTAATTTTCTGATTTTAAAATTTATTTTGTTCTGCATTATCTCATGTTTTGAAATATAACGTTCAATTACGAAATCATTGGACAATCATAATAAAATGATTTGTTATCAAATTATCTTATATCTATTTTACGGGTTGGTGTCTGCCTTTTAGACCACTTTTGCCGATATTTTGTTATATATTATTCAAGACCATCATAGGTTCATGAGATTATTTTCATACAGGTTTTCAATTATTGGAAAAGATTTTGATTGTGTAATACAATACAAAATAATACAAGTAGGCCTACAGAAGGGGACGTTGGCCATATTAGCCGTATCCATATTTTGTTAAATTAATAGTGGTTTACAGCAACTGGATTAATTTTTTTATAATTTTTATGAAGAGATATGTGCATGATTTAGAAAGTCATTAATCTGCAAAATTGCAATTTATTGCAGACTTTGTAGATATGTTACTTCGATGTATTTATTCAGCTTAGTGAAAACACAAGAGCCTTTGAATGTTATTAAACTAACAAAAAAGCAGCAAAAACCATTTAATTTATTTCTAAAAGAAATTTCTCAAAGTGCAGCGGTAACTTACCCAGATAGTAACATAAACAAAATGCCCAAACTCGATACTACAAAAAAGATCAGGCCAGAGCCATTTTAATGCGCTTGGATTGTGACATTTATTAATTCGGCTTATATTTCTCTTAATCAACAGATTATTCATCTGCAGAAGAAATTCATTGTGCTCTTATTGTGTCTAATAACATCCAAACACAGAAACCTTGCCTAAAATAGTACATATATCTTGACAGATGTTTTACAGTGGCCTATTACGGACCGTGGCCCACTTGGTTGGCCTTAAGTGAGATTTGTGAAAATAACACTGCACTTCGACTGTAAAACAAATTTCACGAAGAGTAATTACCATTTAAGCATTTATTGTCATTACAGAAAGTTTGTGTTCCTTTTGAACTAGATATCCTCTTTCTTTCTAAGATATGTTGATTAACAACAATGCATGTAAACGTCACTATTTACGTAACAATTTACTGTATATGCTTTTTCGAAATGCAGCATTGCTTTGTCATTTGCATTATTTGTTGCCAATGAAGCCGCATTATATTAATCAAAAAGAAGATAAACCAGTTAACATAGGAACAATAACTCATATGACCGACGGTATAAGAAAAATTTGTTATTAATTGAATGATCAACCATATTTTGTAACTAACACAGTTGTAGTCATTATTGTTTCTTCACCTATTTTATTACTCATTGAAACAATGCTAAATGCTCACATTTTTTATAATTTCACTCTGTTTGTCGTAGTTAGAAAAGTTGTTGTAAGCCTTTAAAGCAACCGTCAATTTCGACGGGTTTCACCTAGTGTAATAATATTTACATGCTTTTAAATCATAGGTAGAAATTTAATAGAACCGCAATAATTTAATTTGAATTTGTATAATTAAATTTGAATTTAATTTGATAGCCGCTATACCCATCCATGCCTTGCAACGGGGTCAAGATGCAGAAGAGACAATTTTGGTTCCTTGAAAATAATGGCAACCAGCTTGAGAACGCTAAAGAGAACAATTATTATGTTCCCTATATCTGCTGTGTGTAACTTAGATAGACTTTTAATAATTTACTATTTTTACAAGATTAAACATATGTGCATCCCTCCACTTAAGCACAAACACATGACAAAATTATAATGGTAAGTAATGGAAGCGTTCAAGGCGTAAGCTTTGCTTAGCTGTTTTCTAAGTTAGGTTAGTCTAGACTCAAGATTGAGCAACCGCCATTACAGTACTACGAGTGCGACATTGCCGATGTCTACCTGACTACCACACTGACATTTCTACAGAGTATTCACTCAAGTAGACAATGACAAACAGATACCATCTATATTATAACTTAGTAAGGAGTTTATGCTTAATCCCTGGATGAGTGGATACTGAGGCTGGCGGGTCTTTTACACAAACATACATTCTTTCAACCTGCTTTGCTACACTTATTTTTTAACATAAAGATTTCAAATTTATATGTTTTTTTAAGACAGTGCTTATTACTGTGCAGTTTGTTTGAATCTTAAAATATTTATTATAGTTTATTTAGGCAAATTAAGATTGAATGTTGTTTTTAACACCACTAAAAACTTCCAAAATGTAGTAAGTGAAGAACTTTTTTATTTTCTGAAACAATCATTGTTGAAGGAATACAATGCGCGTGGACATTATGAAACAAAACATTTAAAAATAGATAGGTGAAAGTACAGGGTAATAATAAGCTTTTTTTGCTGCTTAGTCATTAGCTGTTGTTTTATGTTGTTGTAAATATATGATTAGCTGTTGTCATATATTTAAACATTTATTAGTGCTGCACCTTTTTGGTAAACCTATTAACTTTTTAATGCTATTGAGCATCATAGAATCAAATTGTTTAGTTGAAACAGCTGTTAAGATTCTTTAATTACATTTAAGTATAAGTACTAATAAGGTTAACATGGGGAAACTCCAGAGCCACTGGGGCAGAGCCGATTGGACGGATCACAAAATTGATGGAGTATAAACCACTGAACACAATTTTCCCACCCATTTAAATGGAATGGTGGTCAACTATTCCATGAAATTCTACTTGTATGTACCAAGTTTCATGGCCATCGGTCCAGCGGTGTCTGAGATTATCACTGCCAAATATACAAACATACAAACAAACCAACATCCTCTTTTATATATATATGGATACATAAAAGAAATTTTAGTAAAAATATACCTTAAAAACTGAAAGATATTACAGATAAGTATTTGTCAGGCTGTTATGGTTAGGATTTTTTCTGCAGCAGTTTCCACACACGGAAGAGTGAATCCACCCAAACTTTTAAAAAGACTTAGATTTTAAAAACTTATTTTGTTTGTTTGTTTTTTTCCAGTGAAGTCAACATCATCATGGAGGTGGCGAAAGCTCTGCTGCTTGCCTAATATATTCTTTTTTGAGATTTGCTATGCTTCCATTCTCATTGGTGGATGTGTTCTCACAATTTACCTACTTGAAGCCAACACGCCAAGGTACGATAGTTTTGTGAAATTACATAAAGTTTACATTTATATATAAGCATTAACGCTAATAAAAAAACATTTCTCAATCAGTTATGAAGCTTTTTTTGGCAAATGGAAGTAATTTTCATCAGAAATTACTAGTGATGGGCGGATCCAAGAAAATGTCGGTACCGGATCCGGATCTTGAAAAATTCGGATCCGGATCCGAAGATCCGGATCCAGATACATACTGTCATAATGGCTTGTTAAAAAAAAGTAACTAACAGAATGCCAATTTAAATCATAGCCTACTGTTTAAAATTAAATTGGTGAAGTTTAAAGGTAAATATATCTTATATATAGAGTAATCTCCAGTTGAGCCCATAATCCCTCATTATTTTGGGACACTAAAACTTTTCAAAATCTTAAAATAAAACTATTAGTTGATGATATTAGTTGGGCAATGTCACAGTACTGTATATTACGACGTCAATAGCCTGTATGGTTAGGCAATGTCACAGTACTGTATACTGTGAAGTCAATAACCTCTATGGTTGGTCAATGTCACAGTACTGTATATTACAACGTCAATAACCTCTATGGTTAGTCAATGTTACATATACTGTAACATAATTCTATTCTATTCTGCCTCATAATTCTATTCTAAAAAAATATATTCTCGAATCCCGATCTTTTCTTAAGATTCGGTGTATTCAAGATCCGGATTCGACACATGCCTAGTCGTAATATACTGTGACATTGCCTAACCATACAGGTTATTGACGACAGTAGTGTGACATTGCCCAACCATACAGGTTATTGACGTCGTAATATACAGTACTGTGACATTGCCGAGCCATACAGGTTATTGATGTCGTAATATACAGTACTGTGACATTGCACAACCATACAGGTTATTGACGTCGTAATATACAGTACTGTGACATTGCCGAGCCATACAGGTTATTGGCGTCGTAATATACAGTACTGTGACATTGCACAACCATACAGGTTATTGACGTCGTAATATACAGTACTGTGACATTGCACAACCATACAGGTTATTGACGACAGTAGTGTGACATTGCCCAACCATACAGGTTATTGACGTCGTAATATACAGTACTGTGACATTGCACAACCATACAGGTTATTGACGACAGTAGTGTGACATTGCCCAACCATACAGGTTATTGACGACAGTAGTGTGACATTGCCCAACCATAGAGGTTATTGGCGTCGTAATATACAGTACTGTGACATTGCACAACCATACAGGTTATTGACGACAGTAGTGTGACATTGCCCAACCATACAGGTTATTGACGTCGTAATATACAGTACTGTGATATTGCCGAGCCATACAGGTTATTGGCGTCGTAATATACAGTACTGTGACATTGCACAACCATACAGGTTATTGACGACAGTAGTGTGACATTGCCCAACCATACAGGTTATTGACGTCGTAATATACAGTACTGTGACATTGCCGAGCCATACAGGTTATTGGCGTCGTAATATACAGTACTGTGACATTGCCTAACTATAGAGGTTATTGACGACGTAATATAAAGCACTATGACATTGCACAACCATAGAGGTTATTGACGTCGTAATATACAGTACTGTGACATTGCACAACCATAGAGGTTATTGGCGTCGTAATATACAGTACTGTGAAATTGCCTAACCATAGAGGTTATTGACGTCGTAATATACAGCACTATGACATTGCACAACCATAGAGGTTATTGACGTCGTAATATACAGTACTGTGACATTGCCTAACTATAGAGGTTATTGACGACGTAATATAAAGCATTGTGACATTGAGTAAAAAATCGGTCTTTTACATGGATACAGACAGCTTTGTGTTAGTAAAAAAAATCGGGGAAAATCGGAAAAAAATCGGGTCCATCAAAACCGGATCCAGCCCAAGATCCGGATTTTTTTTTATCCGATCCGGTGCCGGTTCTAGCTCGGATCCGGCGGATCCGGTAGTCCGATATCCGGATCCGACCATCACTAGAAATTACTCATTTGATACATACACCCTTCAAGCTTGCCCTCACAGAATTTTCAATTATAATTCCTGCAAGAGAAATCAGATAAACTGTATTCAATCAAGAGCTGTTGATAATAAAGCACATGAGTGTTTCATTGTGTATTGATTTATAGAATTGATCTTGATACTAAACCTGCATCAATTGCTATATTCTACTCTTTTTATCAAATCTCTATATATACCTTAAGTTATTTTGAAAAGCTGTTTGTACAGAAAATCGCTTGATAAATAAAGGCATTTTTATTATTATTATTTATTACCTAAGATTACAATACCAAATTCATTTTTCACCCTACCATTATGCCCTTAGATGTTAGCATAATCTTCTTGCTGCCTTTTGGTAGTTTACTTCTAGGTTAATTTTGATTTGGCACAAACTTTATCAATAAGGTTAAAATATTACGTTTGTTATAAGGTTAAACCAATTTATGCAAATGTAAAAAGGGCCATAACAGCTGAATAGTTTGCAAAGCCTAAACATCTATATATAAAGCCAAAGTACCCATGAACTTTTGAGAAAACTACAAGTCACACCCCCATAAACCATATACTTAAAATGTTCGTCATGACGAGAATCCTTGCGCAAAACTATCCATTATTTCATAAATTGCCCTTTAAGGTCGTAATTACTTTCTTAAGGGAACTTTCCATATACCTAATGTTAAAAATACCTCAGCTGTACTTATTTGTTTGTTATTCTTTCAATTTATTACCTTATTAAAATCAGGTGTGATTATTTGTTTGTTTTACTATATTTTGTTAATTTCAGGTTAACTTAACCAATCAATAGTTTTATTAATACTTATGAAGTCAAACGGGGTGAAGCCCGTGGGTAACAGCTAGTTTAACTAATAAGCAAACAGTTGAATAGTAGATTTAATTAATCAAGAACATTTTGGAAAATCAAGTAACAAAGAATCAAGAATAAATGGAAAGTATACTATATATTTGTAAAATTATTTTGTTAGGTACCTTACAATATCTTTGTTTGATGTTGGTAAACTACATGTTTCATGGCAACTGCCACAATCACATCATCAGGTTATCCTCTTCTCAGGTTCGTCATAAACTTAAAATAGATAATGCAGAACACACGTAAAAAGACATAACATTTATTTGATCAACCGTCGCGGTGCGTGAACACATTTTGTCGGGCCGGCGGTGACTGGTATTGCAGTGAATGGTAAATTTCAGTGATAACCTTTTAAACGACAAACTAAATAGCCAGGCCATTGCATTGTTTGATACAATAATTAGAGTAAACCAGGAATCAGCTGATCGACACGTCACGTGACCTTGAACTGGACACTGCAATACTAGTCGCCGCCGGCCCGACAAAATGTGTGCACGCACCGCGACGGTTGATCAAATAAATGTTATGTCTTTTTACGTGTGTTCTGTATTATCTATTTTAAGTTTATGACGAACCTGAGAAGAGGATAACCTGATGATGTGGCAGTTGCCACAAAACATGTAGTTTACCAACATCAAAGAAGGATATTGTAAGGTAACAAAATAATTTTATTAATATAAAGCAATATCCAGAAGTAGGACGATTAATTCCTACTTTTTTGTTATTGTTGGTAGTGAGTTGAGAACTCTGGAGGAGGTGACAAGCCAGGTGATGCTAGCAGTATGTGGCCTGGTGGTGGCATTGCTCGTGGTGGCAAACCTGTACACACTGGGTCGTGTAGCTCAGTCACTAGTGTTCAGTCAACGTAGACAGCTGCAACGTACCATAGCTAGACTGGAAACACTCAAGAGTGAAGGCTTCCTACAGGCACTCAGGACTGAGGTTAACCTCATGACGGAAATGGTACAATAAATCTACTATAATCAGTATAAACTAAGACATTACATACATTATCTGGGAATGATAACGGCACATCAGCTAGAGACCATTGTTTTACCAATTCCTTTTAGCTGAGGTCGTTTATCAGTTTCACATGCGGTAGTGACCAAAGTTAGCAGCATTTTGGCTGCAGTCGCAGTGTGACTAAACGAGAGATTACACAAGTGATAGGGGGCATATAAGATTAAAATAGGTCAACAGTAAACCATAGTAGACTGAAACATTTTTATCAGCAAGCTAAGTTTCCTCAACTTCAATCACTATATCAATGAACACTGATTAATACCTACTGTTGGCAAATGTGTATGGCCTTCTACAAACTCCCTAAGCCACTTAAATTAAGCACATTACATCTTAACACTTGACTGCATACATATCTCTCAACTGGCAAGGATTAATTGATTACTATAAGGGTTGACCCCCCCACTAGTAACCTATTCACACACACATATTACATATATGAAACATATTGTAATGTTGTTGTCAGGTTTGAAATTGCTAGCTTGGCCGCAGTGGAAGCTTGTTGGTGACCTTAATCTACAGAGAAACCCTTATATATTACTTGACTATTTGCGATGAATCATGACACTGTTCCAGGTGAAGTGTTTGGATGCATTCACTCAACAACAGACCAGGTTGGTAATCATAGTGGATGGGTTAGACAGTTGTGAGCAAGACAAAGTCCTGATGGTGCTGGATGCAGTCCATGTTCTCTTTTCTGATTCAAACACCCCGTTCATCATTGTTCTGGCCATAGATCCTCATGTCATATCTAAGGTAACATCTGTGATTCAAATTCGTCTAAATAAATTTAACTGTTTCTATCTTTGCTCTAGTGTACACTAAGGGTGGCATTACGCTGCACTATAACTATTTTATGTTTACTTTTAGAAATTTTTTTTTAATTTACTGAATTTTCAGGCAGTGGAAGTAAACAGCAGAAGGCTACTGAGTGAGTCTAACATCGGTGGGCATGACTACCTGCGTAACATGGTGCATCTGCCATTCTATCTACAGAACTCTGGTCTGCGTAAGATCAAAACAGCGCAGAAATGTGCACAGAGTCATCGTAAGAGCATTGTACAAACATACGAGCAGTCAGAGCAGAACCTTGTCACTTCGGTAATGATGGTTGCATTGTGTCAATACCCAACAACCCTTTTTTTATTTTTTATAAATCATAACATAACAAAGATATTGCTTGCACTGCATCACACCAAACTCATTTATTGATCTTTGTTGGTGGATGTTGCAGTAAAGCTCTTAAGGGTTGGACTTAATCTGAACTATTAAGTGCTATAGCTTGGTTCAAATACCTTTTGAACGTTGAATTGGAATACATTTATTAAAATTTACAGAGAAATACTAAATATTTAAAATAAAAGTTGTATGCATTTTTGTATATACGGTACACCAAAGATACCCGGAGTTGACGGTTAACCCATTGGGGAAGGAATTAATACGCTATTAAAGATTATAAAAATAAAAATTTTAAAAACAATATTTTGAAAGTAAACTTCATATACAAATTCCAAGATTAATCCAGACACGAAATAACACTACTATTATAAAGTTCAATCGATTCCCTACGTAGAAAAATCAAAAGTTGTGTACTTTTATAAGTAATAACATTTTTTTAAAATTGTTTGTTTACCTTACCGCAGCTGATTTTTTGTGATATGTGGTTTCCATGGCAACACAAAATTGTTTGTTATTCGCTAAAATAAATGAGTAAATATGCAAATCAAGAAGCAAGATATTTATAAACATTATAATAGTAAGAAGAAACAAAAAGGGCGAAAAATAATAATAACTAAATAACTAATGGCGCTGCCTAGCGGTGACACGAGCGGCACTCGTAAGTCGGCCGCCGGGCCTGCAGCGGCCGTACGAGTAACGCTCGTAAGTCAGCGCCAATGGGTTAAGTGTGTGGCAAATATTCAGTAGGCCTAATTGCCAAACTGAACACCTGTTTATTTCAATGTTGTCAATGTTTGTTATGTTCCTTGTTATGTTGTGTCGTAGGCTTCAACTCGTCGACTGTCTACAGAATCTGGGGGTCTCAGCTCTCAGGAGAAACTCAAGCTGCCTGGGAGCTCCTTAAACGTGCGCAAGGTAACTCAGCAGAACACTTTTATATAAATATAAATTGTACTTTTTTATCAAAATGAAAGGTATGGAACCTTCACCCAAGTACACATTTGGAAAGTAAAGTAAAGTATGTAGAGAAAATGTAAGAAATACATCCCATATTGTAACCCAATCTGTTACTAGGTAAGTGAAGTTTTTTACCCACTCGAGGTGACTGTAAAGCTGAATAGATATAGTGCTCCCCTGGTAATCAGAAGACTGCTGGTTTGAAAAGTTATAAGCTTATTGATAGTTTGAAACTAAATCCAACCATCCTTTAACGTTGTTCTTTTAATAAATGGTCTTGGTTTAAGTACCAGTACCAGCTGATCTTAGTTACTAGTCACTAGTCAGTAACATAGATTTCATCTTATTAATTACTAGCAACAGTGCCCGTTGTGGTTAAATACAACGGTCTCTAGTAAAATAATGGTTATGAAATCCATACACCACTTTACTCACTGATATTAATGGTACAGATTAAGCACATAACATTAGAATCACACACTTAACATAAGGAACACACTTTAAACGCAAATGCAAATTGTTAACAACAACAACATTTAATCAAAGTAAAACTAAATAGATAACAATAAGCTGTTGAATTATTAACACATGTTTCGTATGATTAGATTATGCATACTGGTAAACCAATTATGCCATCTATAATAATTATTGGTTTTTCTTTTCCGAGTCGGGTTAGTTCTTCTACCCGACTGATTTTCATAATTTTGGGAACTAAGGGTATATAGACGGGACCACAGATTTGCCATCAATTCATTTTGACGTATATTTCGGGTTATGCATAAACTGCCTCCCTGTACATTTCTTATGGGAGTTAAATTTTGTTTTTTTTTAGATCGTTTGGCTCTTCTACCCGCTTGATTTTCATAATTTTGGTTTTAAAATAAAGCTATGCAAGCACATATGTGTCTTCAAGCATCATCATTAATTTATCTAATATATTACAGGACGAAAGGAATTAAATTTTATTTTATTTTTTCACATCAATTAAAGATGTATTCCTGCAGTTCTAATTACATTACCCTGTATGTTATGGTCTAAAAACCTATAGGAAAATACCAGGTTTCATTTAAGCTATTGATTGTTAAGATGGGACTACCTAATATTTATTTAGCACATTGCTGAATCACAAATTAACAATAATTACAATCGTTTTATTTAGCTACTTATCTGCAATCAATTATACGTAGCACTATTTTTATTTAATTTATTTCATATGTCTTGGTCTTAAAATACTTCAAAGGCTTTCACTTGAGATATTGATAGTTTTTATCAGTAAAGTTCAAGATACTGTATCGCTCAAACAGAAAATATAAATTTGATTTTATCTTTGATATGGAATTTAGTTTTAGATAGATTTACTTAATTCTAACCGGACGTACCTAAAGCACTAAGCTAAATCACGAACAACACAAATTGTTCAAAAAATGGAGTTATTTATCATCGATTTATAGTCAAACGATCTTGCTTGCAACCTCAACAGGAACTGTCAACTTTGACGGGTTTCACCTAGTAAATCTTAAAAAAAATCAAACTTTTATAATTATTTGCAAATACAAATGAGGTTTTCAATGACCTATTAATTAATAAAATCGGTTCAGTAGAACTGTAGATTTAATTGTACAAAGTTTAACAACAACGTCAATTCAGTATTTTCTCACCACTATAAATTGGGAGTTTGCTTAACGTTTTTACAAATAACTTTGAAACGGTGAGGAAATCGACCAAAGTGGAAGGTGATATTCTGAAAGAGAATAAAATTTCCTACAATAAAAGGTTAAATTACCTGTGTCCGCCAGTCGATCCTTGTGCTGTGTCCTATTACAGGATATGCATTTCGGCAGAATAAACTGCCATCATCAGTCCTAATATAAGTCCTTGTTCTTCCCCATTGGGTGCGTCTTGAAGTTTTGAAACACGTACACGAACGATATTACACTTAGATACATTACGAATAAAACATAAAACACGGTAGGCCTACTTTTATTTGAGCTATTACGGACATGTAGACGCGCGTCGGTCGTGTGTCGAGTCTCGACTGGGGTCAGACGTTACTTGCAGAGTTGACCTTTGTCCTGTCTCTGTCCTTTGTAGCTACAGGTGGCGTTTTATTCAACTTTAACAATGCTTCGAATAATATGTTGGATTGTAGTGTACTTTTATCATTCAGGAGGTTGTGGGGGGTTGTTTTAGATGCTCTATAAATTTCATATTGCTCTAGTGATGTCATTACTCGACTTTTTCTACAAATGTGTAAAGGTTTTAAATTTTCATTCAGGCTGGAATAACTGTGATTGCTGTCAATTAGGTGTTCGGCAAAATTGGATTGTTGTGTTAAACTATTTTTGGGAAGGTGTTCTTTAAACCTCTTAATAAATGGTCTGCCAGTCTGTCCAATATAGAATTTATTACAGTCACTGCATGTTATTTTGTATACTCCGGATTTATCACTCAGGTTTTTAACATTTTGTTGGGCTCTAGGTTTGAGGTGATTTTGGACTTTATTAGATGTTCTAAACGCTACAGTTTTTCCGTGTTTTTTTAATTCATTTTTCAAAGTTTGGGTGATTTTTTCTCCGTATTCAACTGAGACGAATTCTGTTTTTAATTGAGGCCTTGGATCTGCAGTCTCTTTACTAATTTTCTTTCTATGTCTGCTGATTAATGTGTCGATGATGTTAGGATTAAATCCATTATTGACAGCTATATATTTGATGACATTCCTCTCATTCTCGAAGTTTGCGGTACTAAGTGGTACTGATAGTAATCTATGTACCAAACTATTGTAAGCTGCTAATTTATGTGCTAGAGGGTGGTGGGAGGTTTCATGGATGGTTGTGTCTGTTGCTGTAGGCTTCCTGTATATGTTGAATGAAATATTTTCTTCGTTTTTTATTAAAGATAAATCTAAAAAATTAAGTTTGTTGTCAGCTTCTAATTCAGTGGTGAAACCTAGTTTAGGATGAAAGCTGTTCATGTAGTTGCTGAAAAGTTGAAATTGCCTGCTATTGCCATCGTACAAGGTCACAATGTCATCCACATATCTGTAGTAAAAAATTATTTTGCTTTTGTACTTATTTTTGTCATTTTTCCACAAATGTTTATTTTCAATGTGGTTTAGAAAAATTTCTGCAAGAATGCTTGATAGGGGTGACCCCATCGCAAGTCCTTCATTTTGAGAGTAATATCTATTGTCAAACTGGAAATAATTTTGGTTTAATACGGTTCTTAGTAATAACATTAGTTCATTGATTTCTTCTATGTTTAAATTGGATTTATTTTTTAAATTGTCTTGTAGGATTTCTAGTGTTTCACTGACAGGAACGTTGGTGTATAGGCTACTTATATCTAATGAAGCTAACGTATATCTTGGGTTCAATTTGATGGTTCTTATTTTATTGATTAGATCTAAACTATTTTTCAGGCTGTGGCTGTTTTCTAGAACTACATGTGTTTTGACGATGCATTCTAGTTTTTTGGCTAATTTGTAAGCTGGAGCGGGCATGTAATTAACCAGGGGTCTAATTGGGTTGCCTTCTTTGTGTAGCTTTGGTAGGCCTTTTAGGTGGGGAGCTTGGGGATTTATTGGTTTAAACTCTCTGATCTCCCTGTCAGTTAACAAAAGCTTACTGTTGGATAAAGCCTTATTTAACTCTTTGGTGTATTTAGCTGTCGGGTCCTGTGGTAGTTGGTTGATTAGATTGCTATCAATAAAATTCAAAACTTTGTTATTGTATTCTGCTTGGTTCATTATCACTAGAGTATTACCTTTGTCTGCTTTTGTAATGATAAGGTTGTTATCTGCTATCTTCGTTTGGATATTTTTTAGGATTAGGCTTTCTTTTTTATATAAGTAACTATATTTGAGTTTCTTAGGATTTTTTACTTCTTTTTTCAGTTTGTTATTTACCATTACTCTGACTGTATTCTGATCGTTTACATCACTGAGACTTTGAATTGCTGCGTCGGCATTGATAATTTCTGAAAATAGACCTTTCATGCATTTTTGAGGCAAATTATACTTGAGGCCTTTGTTTAGCAAATTCATCTCATCAAGATCAAAAACTATGTCAGTAAGGTTAATTGTCCTTGGGTAAAACTTATGGCTAACCTTATTAAGATCAAAGTCATGTTTTTTATTTAAAAGGGTTTCTAGTTTATTGTTCAAAACTTTCTTTTTGCTTAGAATATCTCTGCCAATTTGTGATTCTATTGTAAACAAAACATTATTGAGTTGTGCGGGATGGATAATGTTAAGCATCTCAACGTGAGATTTAAGCAGCAGTTTGTTTAACATAGACTTTTTGCAGTGTTGCTGTTTTATTTCATGTTTTAACCAAGACTGTTCTGCTATTGATTTTGCCTTTTTTGCTGCAAATGAGTTGTTTTTGATTTTCACAGAGATGTACTTAGGTATAACGTTGTTTTGTACACATTTAGTGTTAAACTTTATGTTTTGTACGGTCTTCAAAACTTTCAATTTCAAGTTCTTATATTTGTAAACAACTTTTGCCTGGCTGGCTGACAACTTCATTTTATGTTGTTGTTGTTCCGGATCGGTAAGACATACAATAAAAGGTTAAATTACCTGTGTCCGCCAGTCGATCCTTGTGCTGTGTCCTATTACAGGATATGCATTTCGGCAGAATAAACTGCCATCATCAGTCCTAATATAAGTCCTTGTTCTTCCCCATTGGGTGCGTCTTGAAGTTTTGAAACACGTACACGAACGATATTACACTTAGATACATTACGAATAAAACATAAAACACGGTAGGCCTACTTTTATTTGAGCTATTACGGACATGTAGACGCGCGTCGGTCGTGTGTCGAGTCTCGACTGGGGTCAGACGTTACTTGCAGAGTTGACCTTTGTCCTGTCTCTGTCCTTTGTAGCTACAGGTGGCGTTTCATTCAACTTTAACAATGCTTCGAATAATATGTTGGATTGTAGTGTACTT